TGCCTCTGTAAACAATTACCTACATGGGAAGGCATCATCACGGATGCTTGGGTCCTCTTCATCATCCGAAGTGGGTGCTGCATTCAGTTCCATCAGCTCCCTCCACCATTGCACACTGTCGCCTCCATCGCAAACCCTGCAAGACTAAATACAGGCACTTCATAGAACCGGTAGTGGCGGAATGCCCACATCACTCCTGTCTATCATAGCTGAAGCTCAAGTGCAGGAACCTATGAGAAGACAGGAGGGGTGGAGTCAATTAGACAGTTAGGCAGCGGGAGACAGTTAGAGAAATAGAACAGAGGAGTTGATAAAGAGTTAGAGAGAAGAATAGAAGAGTTGGAGAGTGGACAGAGAAGGAGAAGGAGAGTTGTGAAGGAGATAAATTGAATAGTCAAGATAAAGAGATAGTCAGAGATTATTAATGAGTTGGTTAATGTTCATAAATAAATACAAGACCTGAATAAGCAAATGTGTAATCAAATATAAGAAGTTTTAATGAGTGATCCCACACAATGATAATAGAACATCTGTGATTTAAATACCAAAAGATAAATAAACAAGTTATATTGGCAGCACATGTCTGATGCATATATGGTGCAGTGTGGGTGAGAGATATTCACAGTGGTGGCAGCAGAAGAAAGACAAAACGTATCCAAAGAATGAACCTTGGTTTTGGGGAAAACAACAGGGAACAATGGGTGGAACGTCACACCGGTATATCAAATAGACAGAGGTTTTTTCTCTCGTTATTTCATTGTCCCCAAAAAGAATGAAGGTCTCCATCCCATCCTCGACCTCAGAGAGCTAAATTGCTATACAGTACCATTACCACCAAATTCTGTATGACGACCCTCGAGTCCATCTTTCCCCTTCTCCAGAAGAATGACTGGTTTGCAGTGGTAGATTTAACTGACACTAACTTCTATGCATCCACCCCTCTCACAGACCTTACCTCCACTTCCAACTCGGAACTCAAAACACCAGTTCAAAAGACTCCCCTTCAGACTCGCAACAGCTCTCAGAGTCTTCACCAAATGCATCGCCCCGTGACAGCTTACCTCAGACTTCACAAGATCCACATCTTTCCGTGCATTGACGACTGGCTCCTTGTAGCTCACTCCCGTCAGAAGAAACAACAAGATATCCACTTTACACTGTCTCTTCTCCACGATCTCAGCCTTACTGTAAACATACAAGTGTCTAGGTTACAGTCCACAAGGACTGTTCAGTACATAGGGGTACTTATAGACTCTACTCATGCCCAAGCGTTCTTTCCAGCAGATAAGTGATACAACTTGACGTCCCTGCTGCGCACCTTCACCCCTCATGCACTTATACCCACACTAACAGTTCAACGTGTTCTAGGCACTATGGCATCCATGATGTCTGTAGTACAACATGTACGCCTCAAGATGAGATCACTCCAGGCATGGTTCCTTGCCCTCTTTACTCCAGAACTCACCACCCAACTTTCTTGGTGGTGCTCTACCCAAAACATTACAAAGGGATGACCCTTCCAGCAACCACATCCTCAAATACAAGTCACTACTGACACCAGTCTCACAAGCTGGGGGGGGGGGCTCACTGCAAATCCCTAAAAATTCATGCCCAATTATCAGAAAGAGAGAAATTGCTTCCTATCAATGAACTAGAGCTATTAGCAGTGATAAAGGCATGCAAGGCTTTCAGAGACCATCTTGCATGTCACCGACAACACTACAGCAATGTATTATATTCTCAGACAAGGCGGCACTCATTCTCCAAGCCTACTGTATCTCGCAGTCGACCTCTGGGAATGGTGTCTGTCGCATCATACTGCCTCACAGCAATACACATAGTCAGCCAAGACAACAATCTGGCAGATCTCCTCAGTCGCAAGGAATCCCTAACTCATGAATGGAAACTAAACCAGTCTGTCTTTCTCCTCTGCAAATGCTGGGCACACCTACCATCAACCTCTTTGCCTTCCGGACAGATCGGAACTGCAAACATTAGTGCTTCTACGCAGGAGTCAGCAAGCACTCACATGGAGACGCATTTGTAGGCCATTGGCCCAGGACCCTTACCTGTTTCCACCATTTCCGCTCCTTTGCAAAGTAGTACTCCGGCTCCAACAAGACAAACCCAATGCTATTTTGATAGCTCCATGGTGGCCGTGACAGCCTTGGTTCCAGTTCTCCACAATCTGTCATCAGACATCCATCACCTGCCCCATCTGCCTCACCTGCTCACACAGAACAAGGCTCAAATTCTTCACCCGGACCTCCCTACTCTGCACCTGGCAGCGTGGAGGATTCTTCCTCCCTGATGAATGTCCTCCATCAGGCAAAGAAACCCTCAACTAGGAGAGCTTATCTGTATAAATGGAAGAAATTCCAATCCTTTAATGAAGCCTCTACACTATCTTCAGTCAATTGCTCTCTCTCCACCATCCTTCATTTTCTGCTTCATCTTAAAACCAAGAGTCTCTCTTTTTCTTCCTTGAGGGTTTATCTTGCAATCGTTTCCTATCAACCACCAACTTCCCCAGCAGCTCAGTTCTTCAGGCACCCTACTCTGAAGCGTTTCCTGAAGGGTTTATCGCACATGTATCCAGATGTACACCCACCTTCTCCTCAGTGGTCTTTAACAGTAGTCCTGCAGCAATTCACCAAGGCTCCATTTGAGCATTTAGCTTCAGTTGAAGCCTTTAGACCACTGGTTCTTAACCTTGGGTTACTCAGGAGTTTTGGACTGCAACTCCCAGAAGCCTTCACCACCAGCTGTGCTGACTGGGGTTTCTGGGAGTTGCAGTTCAAAAGCATCTGAGTAACAAAGGTTAAGAACCACTGCTTTAGACTACTTACCTTTAAGACAGCATTTCTCATTGTTATCACATCCGCTTGTTGTGCCAGTGAACTAGCAGCTTTGTACGTATTATGATTATCCTTATCTCCAGTTTTATCTGGATAATATCAAGCTGTTTATAGATATCTCCTTTCTCCCCAAGTTTGTTTCCCAGTTTCATATGTCCCAACTGCTGGTTCTCCCATTTTTCTTCCCGTCTCCATGTACTGCTCAAGAAAGAGTCCTCCATACTCTGGATGTCAGATGGGCCCTAGCATTTTATTTAGCCCATACACAACCCTTCCAATGATCAGCTCGAGTTTTCGTCAGCTACAAACTCCTTAGGAAGGGTTTCCAAGTGACATCACAAAGAATTTCCAAGTGGGTTGCTTCTACCATCCACCTAGCATAACAGCTTGCTCGAAGGCCAGGTCCTCAGGTGATTTGCCCTCACTCCACTAGGGCAGTGGCAGCTTCCACGGCATTTCTTCTCCGCGTTCCTCTTCCGGACATCTGCGCCTCTGCCACATGGTCACAGCTGTCCATATTCATTAACCATGATAGATTGGATGTTCGACAAAAATCTGATGCGGCCTTTAGACGTGCTGTGCTAGCCTCTACCTTGGCTTGACACCCTCCCCCGGGATAAGACAGCTTGTTAGTCAGCCAGGGTGTGATTCACAGAGCCCATGAAGAACGACAGGTTACTCACCTGTATTTGTAGTTCTTTGAGTGGACCTCTGTGATTCACACATCCCAGCCCAACCTCCCCAGTATCACGCCATGCAGCTATAATTTGCGGCAGTTGACCTAACTGAAAGGAGAGTCTTGGCGCCAAGGTACATATAAGGAGGGGGAGGGGTCTATACTAATGTGTTTTTTCACTACCGCAGAAGCTCTAGAATCTTCTGATGAGGCTCTGTGCAGGCACGGATTACCCAGGGTGTGAATCACAGAGGTCCACTCAAAGAACTACAAATACAGGTGAGTAACCTGTTGTTCCCAACCTTGGGTAACCCAGGTGTTCTTGCAATGCAAGTCCCAGAAATCTTGATCAGCATAGCTCATGGTGAAGGCTTCTAGGAGTTGCAGTCCAGGAATACCTGGGTTACTCAAGGCTGCAAACTCAAAGTGTTCTAGACATGTATCTTCTGCCTTTATGAGCTCCTGTGTTTTAATGCTTTTAACTTTTAATGCACCTCCAAAACATCTTTTAAAAAGTGGAAACAAATATACTGGCGTAGAAGATGGAGTTTTGTGTGGATTTGATAATTCATGGAATATGCTGCTCCCATAGTTGTGGAACGTGACTAGGTGCCCCTGGGCAAAGAAGCCCTCCTCGCTCACCAGTATAAATTATTAAGTAATGCTTTCTTAGAATTAATGCTCAGCAGACTTGCTCATCACAGTTGTTATGAGAATGGCTTAATCAGCTCCTGGTGAACATGATGAGCCCGATGCAAGGTCTGTTTGGCACCATGCGTGTTGGGCAGAAGCAGAGTCTACCCCAAATTACTGCTTCTGCATCCTTTCTCTGGCTCTGTCCTGGGATGGAAATCTACAGTGCACTCAGCCTTGGAGCACGTGGCAGGCACAGAAGCAAAATGATATGTTTCACCAACTTCGACGCTTGCTGGGAATACTGAGTTCCCAGCAAGTGCTAAGACAAAATAAGCCTCCACTTTATCCCAATCTTAAAGTTGGAGGTAGTGGTGGAGGGTTTCATATTTGATTTGGTTTGGTTTTGATTCGTACTGCATTGCATTTTATTGCCCAGAGAATCCCTCACCAACATCACCAAACCCAAGCCTAGAGCTAAAGAGAGGAACAGAAGATCAAAGTGAACCTTGTATTGGGTGTTTGAGAGACACATTTTGAGGTTAGGTACAAGAATCCATCACTTCAGACAGGGGTATGGCCTAGTCAACAAGTTGTTGTTGTTCAACTGTCAAGGTCACTCTACTAATCCTGTCTTGAACAATGGACAATCTCCTACTTCTGTACTTATTTTTGAGTTAGCAAAGAGGGAACAAGGAAGCAGCAAGAGAAACTACAAGATGAAGATCCACTCAACAGCTTGTGCTACAGATGCAGATTGTTCAAGCGCTTTCCTCTGTGCTGTTCTGCCTTGCTTTTTCATTGTTCATTAAAAAAATATACCATTTCTAAAGGTATTGCCCATCCTGTAAAAATGATTCGGATGAAGTTGTAAAAGCTGGAGAAAAGCTCAAGCAAAGTAAAAAGAAGGCAAAGATGCCATCCGCTTGCACAGATAGCCAACGTGATTGGGGCAAGGTAAAGTATATATATATTTTAAAAATACATTGTATTGCATAGTCAGTATTCTGTTGAGGTTCTGGTGAACAGGAAGTCCTTTCTTCAACATACATGCAACATAGGATTGCACTACTTGAGCAAGTGTAGCAGAGGACACAGTTTATTCATAAAGATCACCGCTTGTGCAGTGACAATGAATGTAAGTGGCATGATCTTGCATTACTACTCTGAAGGGGTTTTCAGCTCAGTGGAAGATTGATAGGATACCGAGCCAAGACCATATTAGTAAACTTTTAAGAATATAATTGTAAACTTCTAACCCTGTACTACAGGAGAGATAAAACTTTTCCTACACTGGAGTGACATTAGATCCATCCCTCATTCTAGTATTTCAAGTATTATCTGTGGCACAAAATACTTCTTATAATTGTAGGCTAAAGTGCTACCTTATTTCCCTGAAAATAAGATATTTATTTTTGTTCCAAAAATGCATTAGGGCTTATTTTCAGGGGATGTTTTATTTTTTCATGTACAACAATCTACATTTATTCAAATGCTGTACAGTCATGTCATCTTCTGGTTGCTGTACAATGGTGGAGGGTGGGGTTTCACTTAACTGGGGCTTATTTTTGGGTAGGGCTTATATTATGAGCATCCTGAAAAATCATACTAGGGCTTATTTTCAGGTTAGGCCTTATTTTGGGGGGAAAACAGGGTATGTTAAAATGTAGGTCCTGTAGCAGAGATGGTTTTATGATGTTTGTCCGTTGTTTATGCCCTTGTAAAACTAAGTCAACCTGTTTACTACAGTACATTGTACATGAATGCTGTTGAAATCTTCTTGCAAATTTCTCGCTTGATTTAAAATCCAGCAACTAGGTTATTGATTGGAACTGGGCAATAGAACATATCTCTCTGGTATGGAAAACATCTTCACAGACTGCCAGTTCCATTGTACCATTTAATAGAACTAGAAAGCCCTATAGAGCATAGAACCAATTTACTTAAAGGATTTGCTTTGTTCTCCTGTGGACTTGCCTGTAATTTAAGATCTTCATCGGTAGCTGATGTCTTTCTTCATCATAAAGTCCTCTAGATGCCACAATCTCTAATGTTCAAGGAGATGGTGACCTAGGACAGTCCAGAAAGAGGCTTATTGCTAGGTGGCCCTTTATGGAGCACTCTTCTCACAGAGACTCAGCTGTGCCAACCCCTTTAGCTTTTAGGTGACATTTTCCCAATGTTTTACTTTTTGCTTTTCTGTTCATTATTTTATTAGCACTTTACTTGACTAAAATTATTTCAAAATCTGGTTCAAATGACTTGAAATTCATCCCTGATGATGTAGTTATCAAAAGTATATTTGACACCTGCACTCTTAGAAAAAGGCATAGCCCTTTCAGTTTCATAGAAGGGAATGCATAATTTCATATGAAACTAATTGTGACACACATATATATATATATGTGTGTCCATATATATATGGATGAGCCAGTGTGATGTAGTAAATACTATGGCAGAAATCCAGTAGTAAAATGCAGCTGGAGTAAACCCATTGAATCTGTTGGGATTTGGTGAGTCCATAAGTTCCATTGACTGCTGTAATTGCAACTTACTATTGGTTTTTTGCCAGTGTCACAGTAGGACTCTAGAAGTAAAATTGCTAAAATGTACATCTCTTCATAAAGCTTTACAACGATTTTCATAGATTACTTAGTATCTTCTTTGTGTCCATAGGGTATGGCTTGTGTCGGTCGTACTAAAGAATGCACTATTGTTCCCTCTAACCACTATGGACCCATACCTGGAGTTCCTGTTGGAGCAACGTGGAAATTCAGAGTACAGGTATTTCATTCATGGTCTGAACTCTTTTTCGTACCCATTTTCTCTGTGTTGTAGCTTTAGTAAGTTTTTTTCCTTATTCTTAAAGCTTATACCAGTCTGGGTTTTTATGTTGTCATCAATTATGGTCCAAAAGTCCCATAGCTCAGTACAACAATGTTGGAGCCATTTCTGAATGTTCCCCTATTTGTTGGATCTGGTCGCAGGTCTATTAAGAGACTAATACAACTGAACTTTCTGTAACCTAGAGCTGAATTTTTAAAAATCTTTAAAAAGATTTAAAAAAAAAATCTTTAAAAATCCTTCTCTCTTTTGTGGTTGCCAGGATTGAAATAACAGTTTACTTAGTTCTTTGCACTCATTGCTGAAATCATCTTTCTTGAATTGCAGCTCCATGAACTATGTGAAAAAATATTAGAAACTATATGTTGTGGAATTTAATGTTTTAAAAAATGTAACTTAATACTGTTAATCACTATTAGGACTTACTCTCCATTTGATTAATCTCCAAGGTGAGTGAAGCAGGTGTTCACAGACCTCATGTTGGTGGAATTCATGGACGTAGTAATGATGGAGCTTACTCTCTTGTGCTGGCTGGAGGATTTGAAGATGAAGTAGTAAGTTTCACTGGCAAACTAAATTTCTGTGCTGAGAGTAAATTTCTTTGCCTTACTTTGTTCTGTTAGTCAAGACTGTACAAGTCAATAATTTATGTTGCCAGGGTCTCAGCATATGAATATGGTGGATGTCCAGATTGAGATTATAATGGGAAGAAAAAGCTCTCCAGCCCTTGCAGGGAAGCGTTAAGGCACTCAGAAGGACCCCTTATCTGTGTATCTTCCTCTGCTGAGCTTTAGTGGCGCATGCATACCACCACTAGAGGATAGTCCTGACAGATGAAGAGGATAAGTGTTTGTTAACTAAACACATTTCAGCTAAAGAAAAGACTTCACATCTTTCCCATAAATACTGTAGTTGTCCTAAATGAGTGAAAACTGAATCCTTTGTTTCCCTTTGAAGTATCAAAAATGATGGAGGAACATATAAAGAGCTGGCTTCAGAGACAATGCCTTAGTGTCCAAGGGGTGGAATGAGTGGAAGCTGAGGAAATCCCAAATATTTCTCCCTAAGGATGGGGGCTTAGCATTTATTGGCAGCCAGTGTTTAGGAATTGTGGAAACAAGCAATGTCTTTTCTGCCTTCTTTAGTGCTATTCCTCTGCATTTCTGCAGGTTTGAGGGAAAGGAGGCCCATAGTTGCATCAGATATTTCTGAAATAGAAAATTTAACTTGCACAGAAAAGCTAGCTAATTATTTTTTGTGCATTTCCTGAAATTGGTTTATCTCTTTGTGCAGTAAGACATCACAGTCATCTGAGAAGCAGTGTCCATTGGTGCCTTAAAATGGTGGTTTGAAATAGCACATACTGAATAAAATCCAATTGTAAATTACAACTAGAGTAGGCTCATTAAGCCAATAGAATTTGCATTAGTGTTAACTCACAAAGTCCCACTGATTCCAGTGGGCCTACTTTAATTGCCTTATACTGCTGGATTTCAGCCGACATCTCAGCTTGAGTTTTTTTGTATAGTGCCTTAAACCAACAAGACACACATAGACACAAACCTCTTTAGAAGCTTCAAAGTAAGATTCTTTGTTTTGCTTTGCAAAGAATTGTTTCTAATAAGTAGCAGCAGATCTTAAAAACAGTTGCTCACATTGAGGCACAGTGGTCCCTGCACTTAGAGAGCAGGTTATGCATGTATTACCTTAGTTGATGAAGATCTTTCTCATCCAACAGAGACATCTATGAATTAGAGTTTGGGTATTTTTGGAGGGAAAGGGAATTCCCTTTCCTTTAGTAGTGCACATAATCCACTGGTTATTATAATTTCATACTTGCCGTGGCAGTACTCTTATTTTTCCCTAAGTATTATTTAATATATTTGTTTTCTTTATGCTCTGCCTTTCTTCTATAATGGAACTGAAAATGTGGCTCATGGTGTTTGCATGCAACCTGTCATTTAAATACAGTGGTGCCCCGCATAGCGAGGTTAATCCGTTCCGGATTAACCATTGCTATGGGGAAACATCGCTATATGGAACGGAAAAGCCCATTGGAACGAATGAAACTTTGTTTAATGCATTCCAAATGGGCCCAAAACTCACCGTTCTGCTATGTTTCCCCATAGCGGCAGCCATTTTCGCAGCCTCGGTAAGCGAGGGCAGGGCGCGAGAACGTTGTGCGCAACCATTTCGGGTGTCCGGCGGCCATTTTGGAACCGCCAAACAGCTGATTTTTAAAAATCACTATGCGAAGATTGGTAAGCGAAACGCTTACCGATCGTTGCAAAGCGATTTTCGGCAATAGGAAACATCGGTATGCCTTTGCATTAGCGATCCAAAAAAATGGATCGCTATGCGAATTTGTCATTATACGGTGCGCTCGTTAAGCGAGGTACCACTGTATTTGGCAGAACAGACTTAGTTTCAGCAGGGTGACTGCCATGTGAATGTATCCTAAGACCCGGTAGAGTCTTTTGTGTTAGGCATAAAGTTCACTGAGGTGATATCCCCTTTAGTCTCCAGGATGGAGCTTAAATGATTTAATAACTTCCATCCCTGCAAGTAGAAAACTTGGGTGAGTAGTTTTCTTTACGGAGGATTTGTTGTATGGAGAAGCAATCATTTGAGCCTTCACCCACAGTTCAAAATATTACAAGTCAGACACAGATATACAGTGGTGCCTCGCACAACGAATGCCTCACACAATGATAAATTCACACAACGATGTTTCCTATGGGGAATTTTCGCACAACGATGTCCCTTTTCGCTCCTGTAAAAGTCCAATGGCTTTCAATGGAGAAAACAAAAAATCACCAAAAATTAACAAAGACTCAGAACAACACCAAATTAAGTTT